AACATGATTGTTGAGTAGATTGGCTTCCTCTGTAAGTACTAGTGCACGTGATGTTTCGTGGCACCCCAAACAAATGGTGCCCCATTACACCTGGTAGCACTTCGTAGTCCGTCCAACGACTACTTAGTGTCCGTCCAACAAGAACATGTTGGACGTAGAAGTCCACATTTTTCACGTCATACGTGAAGGCTACTCCCATATGAGTGACTCAGAATGGGAGATAGTCGACCGCATGCGTATGCTCATGGGCGAACACACCATCAGTGCCATGTTGGGGTCTTTAAATCGGGATCAGCACTCTGTTGCCATCAACAAGTTTCTACAAGAAGAACTTGCCGTCGAAAAACAAAAGATAGCCTTGCTACAGCAGTAAGGCTTTCATCAGTCGATGGGCGTGCCGAAGCACATAGGTCGAACCGAAACCTCGAAGATACACATCTCAGGCTACAAGGGAACCGATGAAGATTCCATTTTGAAATGATTTGTCGAGTTGTACGACGCCATCAGGGCCCGTCACATCGAGGGTGACGAGATGCAAGTCACCTTCGCCCTGTCAAATATGACAGGATGAGCAAAGACTTGGGCATGAGGCATTAAGCTTCACGACCCAAACGTATTAGAGTCGTTAGAGATCTTGAAGTCTCGGCTCAAAGAGACGTTTGAGCCGCCGAGAGCCGAGTACAGAGCACGCTCTGAACTCTTGAGGCTAAAGCAATGTAAGCGTGACGTGCACACTTACGCACAGCACCTGCGCTATCTTGCGAGTAGCGTTACGGAACACCCTGTTGATGAGCACACGCTCATCAACGTATTAATCTACGGCCTTGTAGATGGACCGGTGAAGACCTACACGTTCCGAGAGGACTTCCATAAGCTGGAAAGGGCGATAGCGTATGTGGAACAAGTAGACTTTAGCACGAGATAGTCTCAAGATAACACGTTAAACTATCGTCCGACGGGACGACAGGAACAGGAGGTCCCGAACCAACGGACCTCTGTTACATCGAGAGCGAGAACTCTCGCTTTCTGAGTCACAAGCGAACGGCAGGATGCCATCGCTGTCAAAAGATTGGACACTACGCTCATGAGTGTAGTGTCCCAAGCACCTCATCACGTCCAAAGACAGGACATGATCGCCGCCGTTGGCCGAAGAAAGGTCCAAGGCGCGGGTCCGACCATGTCGCTAAGCTGCAACAGCACGTCGGACCGTCAAAAACAGTCAGGGTCAGTAGGGGCAGAGCACCCTGCTGATCCAGCAACGTCAAGAGAATTTGCAGGACTCTTGACGAAGATTGCTCCCAACAAACAGTCGCTGTGTGTTACGGCCCCTAGTGCTGAGGTATCCCTCATCACTTTGAAGATCAAAGTGGCAAGAGGAAGGTCACTTCGCGCCCTAGTTAACTGTGAAACGTCGAGCGGTTTTATCCGACGCCAGTTACTAGGGGCTGGTAGGCTCAACTACATTGAGCGAGAGTTACCTCCAGCGAGGATGACGGTGTGCCTTGCTACAGGCGCATCCGTAACGGTGAACAACCGTGTAGTAGGAATCCACTCCACGCTAGATGGAAAGCAGTACGATGATGACTTCATTGTACTAGATTTGGATAATAAATTTGATGTCATCCTCGGTCTGCTATGGCTTAAAAAGTACCAGCCAAGGATTTGCTGGCAGCATCGATCCGTGAAGATGCCTGCCGTTTGTTCGTCAGATGGCCATCTGATGAATGTGTTGGTGCGTTCTCAAGCGATTGGATGTACTACGAGTGAGTGCGATGGCCTCACTTATGGAACGGTCGTTAGTACGATTGCACAAGATCACAATGTAGAAGGCCACTACACTGTAGAACCAGCTTCCGGCACCTGTGTAGAGACACAGGCTGCGCCGAAGGTTCACTAGTCGAAGAGATCGAGTGGACTGGAACACGGATGCACACCAAGAAGGGTGCATCCGAGAAGAGAGAGTAGTGTTGTGCAGGATGAACAATACGTTGGAGCCAGATCGACTATAAGAGTTTCACCGTAAAGCAAGCCCGATCGACTGAAAGAGAGTCGATCGAAGAGGACGTGACCGTGGTAGTACACCCACAGTCAGTACACGTATTGGAAAAAAATCCAGCGTTCCTGAGAGTAGTAACTCTTGAGAGAGTTATGTTGAGGGTGTAGATCCCCAACCACCTGCGGATGCATTTTCCAGGAAATTAACGAGACAGTGAATGGCTTGGTGAATGATGGATCAAGTGTAGGCGCTTTTGCACTTGATCTGGTAACATTTAAAAAGTCATCTTCGGAGGTTGTCAAGTTGCCAACGCTAGAATCTAAACGATTCTTGCGAGATCACGTAGTGACAAGATCAAGCAGATCTCCATTCTCGTCTCATAGGACGAGCACGTCGCCGATTTTCGGTCGGCACAAGTGTTTGCTGAGAACGAACGGGTTCTCAGTAGCTCATCGATGGACGAGAGTGTCCTCGATGAGAAGACATAATTTGAGCGATACACGTCTCATTCTGATTTGCTTTGACGACAAATCCTTTGTGTAAGGATTTGTTAATTTCAGGGATGACTTCCCTCATTCCGTGTTATGCGAGCTGCGTAAGGATAAATGCACTCGGCATGAGATTGAACTGAAACCCGGTTCGAAATACTGTGTCATGAAGCAGTGGCCACTGCCTCGTGAACAGGTAACAGCGATCGACAACTTCTTTACCGATCGTTTAGCGGCTGTTCATGTGAGCGAATCAACATACCCACATAGCTCTCCGACCTTCTGGTTGCGAAAGGCCACAGGAGGGTGGCGGATAGAGCACGCGTTCAACTAATTGAACTCTGCAACAGTACCGGCCTAGACGTCTAAACCAATGAAGGACGTCATCATAGATGGTATGACAAAAAGTACCATCTTTTCGTCCATGTATCTGATGGATGGATTCTATCAGATCCTCATGCGTGAACGGAACATCCCGTACACATCAGTGAGCACCCCTAGTGGTATGCTCTGGGAGTGGCTAGTGATGCCACAGGGGCTAAGTAATGCCCCTGCAACGTTCAACATATCTGCTACGCATCTGTTGCGATCAATGCGATATTTCGCACCGAGTTACTTTGACAGTATCGTCGTCCATAGCCGGGCTATGGATCGAAAGACGTTTGTGGAGGTTCACAGAATCCACGTCCGGAAGGTTCTTACACTAATCTGAGAGCATAGGTTATTCGCGAACCTCAAGAAGTTAATCTTCGCAGCGAACGAGATGACACTTCTTGGCTGCATCGTGGGTAAAAACGGTGTACGCCCTGATCCGGAAAAGATCAAGGCGATCAGTAACTGGCCTGCGCCAGTCGACGTCAACAGACTTCGAAAGTTCCTTGTCTTGGCAGCGCATTTGCACAAGTACTTGCACAACTATGCCGAGATGACTGTAAATCTCTCTTGCCTACTATAGAAAATGAGGGGTGTTCATGGAGCGCTGAGTGTCAGAACTCTTTTAAAGACATCAAGAAAAGCTTGGTACAATCGCCTGTGTTAGCAGTTGCAGACCAGGACAGACCATTCCATGTGGTCTATGACGCCAGCGATTTTGCAATCGGCTGCGCGTTAATGCAGTACGACTCAGACGGCGTTGAGAGCGTCGTCTGATATCAATCGCGTCAGCTGCAACTAGCTGAGCGTAATTACCCGGAACATGACCAGAAACTCCTTGCCATGAAAAATGCACTGAATAAGTTCCGGGTACATCTCTTAGGAAATAGGCCCTGCATCATTTATACCGACCATGCGTCATTACGCACGGCCGTAGATAGTCCATCCTGTCGCAACGTATGGCGAAATGATGTCTTTCTTGGCGGAGTACAATTTCTCCGTCGAGTAAAAACCAGGACGACCGAATATCGTCGCTGATGCTCTATCGCGCCAGCCCGATTTATGGCTGACTGCTCAACTTAACAGTAGGGATGATCCCACTGTTGCAACACTATCAGAGAGTGTTCCGTCGTCGAATCTGCTCGACGACGTGCGGAAAGCATGCGAAGAAGATGAGTCTCTTCTGCAGTTGATGGATCTCGTGTCTAATTCATGCAGTCAACTTTGAAAAGCTTGACGTCTCAGTAATGCTCTTAAACCTAACAGCATTCGGTTCGTGATGGACACCTGTACTATACAGCAGTTACCGGAGACACCCCTCGCGTCGTCGTTCCCGCTCATAATAATTTGCGATTGCGCATCATGTATGAGTGTCACGATGCCCCACCAAGTGGGCATCGCGGTAGAGAAAAGACTTTCCTTACGATGAGACGTGGCTTCTACTGACCTCGCCAGTGCGATTTTGTGCGGAAATACATTCGCGCTTGCGAAGTTTGCCAGCGGGTTAAGCCTAGTCCTTCATCCAGAGCACCCCTGCAGTCTCTACCTATTCCGGCAAGGTGCTGGCAGTCCGTATCGATGGACTTCGTCTTTTTGGGTTTCCCAAAGACGCTCACAAGATCACTGGCACTCTTGTGATTGTTGATAGGTTCTGCAAAAAAGTACATCTTGTTGCTGTACCGGAGTCAATCACAGCTCAGTGCTGTGTTCGTGTCTTTATCGATACTGTCTATCGACTTAACGTTTAACCCCGTGAACTCGTATCTAATAGGTACCCCCGCTTCACAGCGTAGTTCTGGCAATCCGTGTTCCGTTCACTTGGAGCACGTTCGAAGATGCCGACTTCTGACCATCCCTAAACAGATGGTCAGACGGAACGCGTCAATTGCGTCCACGAAGAGATACTTCGAGGGTATGTCCGCTCGTTTACAAGCTGGAGTGAGTTCTTGCCGATGGCGGAATTTGCCATCAACAACTCGGTGCATGCGTCGACAAGGCATACACCGTTCTTCGTGAATGGCCTACGCCATCCACATCTAACCGCCTTCTTAGAGTGTGACTCTAGTTTAAAGATGGGGGGAACTCGCTCGAACAAAAACCGATCTGGTTCTTGCTCATCACACGTCGACAATGGTGTCGACGTGATGGATACCGATGTCGATGCAATCGATATCGATGATGATGATGACGACGATGCTGGTAAATTTAGCATCGCCAATTACTGCCACCTTAAAGACGATAACGCCCTCATTGGTGAAGACAACGTTCTTTCAGCAGTGCACACGAAGCGCACTGCTGTTGACAGGTATAAGTTAGCAACGGAATTTCTGCTGACTCGCGAAGCGGTTGTCCGCTTCGTTCAAGACTCTATTGCAGATGCCCTAGACAAGAAGAAAAGAAATGCAGACAAACATGGAAGAGCAAGTGTTTTTTCATTTAATGAGGGAGACTTAGTACTACTGTCTGCAGTAAATCCACCGAAACACGCAGTGGCAAACGTAAGCAGCAGTAAAACACTGCCCAAGTGTATTGGTCCATTTCGTGTGTTGCGCCGAATGGGCAACGCATACACGATTGAACTGCCCCGTAAGATGCGCACGCATCCTACGTTTTACTTTGGACATCTCCGCCCGTACTATCAGTACGAGCCCGTTTCGAGATGCGAGAAATCCTCCGCGGTCGAGAGCCGAGACCACCTTCGGGTGGTCCGGTTTCAACGAGCCAGTCTGGTATACTAGAGAAACGACGTGCTTACGCAGTTGAGTGATGTCCTGACGAGCTGGAGCCAGCTTGTCATGATTAGAACGAGTCGAACGTTTGTTCTCAAGCTGCGAACGCAAGTGCGGCAGAATATTTTAAGCTGTCGTGCGCTAAGTAATTGTAATTAATTCTTACAAGATCATCAAGATCATAACTCCGAGTCCGTTCATGAGCCTTGTCATCTTGCGACTATTCCGTTACACGGTTCAGATCCTGAACATCAAGCTGATCCGACCCTCAAGCCGTATTAGGTGTTCCCGCCACCACCACATCCTTTAGTGGATTCTGGCGATGGTCAACGCTCTCTAAAGGAGCGTATCGTGAACCACTGCGACGTGAATGGCATCCGGACGAGTTACCTCGTCCGCTGGCGTGGCTATCCACTGGCCTGGGACAGCTGGGAGTCTCGTGCTCAGCTGATCGCTGATTTCTCGGTCTCGTCGAGCAATATGCCAAGACCCACCTGCTGCGTTTGACGAAAGGACTTCGGAAAACGACCTCTACGAACGCGAGTACAGGGATTGCAAAGTCTCAATTCCCTCGGCCATCCCAGTAGAGATGCGCGCCCTCCAGTAGTGATCATTAGGCTAGGAAGGCCTCCCTAAGGGCACGAATCGAGTTGTCCTGGCAACTTGGACACGAATCACCCCACGAGAGACAGGTTAATACTGCCTCTCGTGACAGCCGGTGCTACTTGTATTGCACCCCGACTGGTTTACTATTCTCAAACCTGATGCGAGCTGCATCAGGTTTACCAAGCCAGGCCTCACGGCAAATGCACTCGATGTTATGGATGAAGGCGTTTCATCCCTGCGCCAAGGCTTTGCTGTCTCGAACAGCTGTCGTTGTACCCCCGATGCTTTAAGAACACATCGGTGAAGAACTCTTCATCAGCACGTAAAGTTTCCTTGTTGGAGTTAGGAGGGCAAAGCCTCCTACAGTCGAACAACGGGATTCGATCCCGTTTGGTAATCATGACTGCCAACCGGTCCAACGCTTTGGATGAAGGCATCCAAGGAGACTCGACTTAAGGAGCATGGCGCAGGACATTTCGGTCCCTGGCCTCTTGATTGGTGTCAGCATGAGGCATGACACCAGTGGCTGCTTGATCCCTCGATTACTTCGCTCGTGGTGATGCTCAGAAGCATCACCACCATCACTTCGCGTCCTATCGTTGGATGGACTGGCGTGAGGCGAGCGGTCGTCGGAATAATCGCTCAATTCAAAGATCTCGAGCATGAGGCCATCATGCTTGCCAGAGCCAGACAACCTGGCCCTTAAAGTGTCCGCCTCAGATAATCCGGAGTCGTGTGGTGTCGCCTTTGAGTCGGATGCACCATCCGACTCGCCAGAGATGATGAGATCTATCTTAGACTCATCTGCATGGCAGTTCGCCCCACCCGCTGCAGTCGCAGCGGATGTACCCGTCGCACGTGCTGACTCACCACGTGGATTGTTAAGAGCAACAGGCGACGAATTACCTGCTGCTGAGGCGGGAGATGAACTGTCTTTGGCTGCGCGCGTGCGGGCAGCCTCTTTTCTCGCTGCTGCAGTAGCAGATGAGTGGAGTTTGACCAACAAGTGCTCCCTTTCCGAGAGAATGATCCAACGGTGATTACATTGTCCCAGTCAATTTTATAAAATCAACGGATGATTGATGTTCAAGGAAATGATGTAATGGAGCAGCCTGTTACATGATATTGACATCAAACGGTGTCGATAGGGAGATTGTCTAGCATGACAATGTCCTACCAATATTATCCAAGATGGATAATTTTGAAGGAATGTTATCCCCTTTGTAGGATAATATTCACGCGCTGTTCAAAGATTGGTTGATCAAAGACTTATCAACCGTAGAAATACTACCAATCGCTGCTAGACGCGCGTAATGAGTGGTGAGCAGGTTGTCGTCGTACGTCCATGTAGTTTAATATAGATAAATAAAGATTAAAGTTACATTGATAGCTTAACGACATTAAGTACAGTTCTCTTTTCACCCTTTACTCAACATGATTGTTGAGTAGATTGGCTTCCTCTGTACGTACTAGTGCACGTGTAGTTTCGTGGCACCCCAAACAAATGGTGCCCTGATACATGCACAGTTTACTCTATTATCGATGAATTCGTGTTGTCATGGCAGTTTGTTTTATCCATGGTATAGTCTTTGTATATTTGATCTTCTAGCATTTAACTTATAAGAATGCGTCGGATATCTGATGTGTACATTTATTTCTTTTGCGCTTGTCAGAGCATCTCTAGTTTTACTCGAGTGGACTACCCGATCAGAATACTTATGTTCTAAAGTTTCACACCGAGGTGCACCATTTCAAAACTTTCTACGCCGCTTTTATTGTTGCCACGCCTGTCAACAGTATCCAACGCAGTTTGGTAGGTATTAATTGAGGTATAATAATCGTATAAGGTTGCAGGCTTCCAGAATACATATAGAAATACGTGCGAGAATTAGGTGTAGTTTTGCTGGCAACTTAGCATGTGTAGATTTTGACGATAAATTTACAAAGACACCAACCTAGACTGGTAAGTCGAAAATACCAAGTGTGTTTCCTTCAAAAGAAATCTTTCTGAACGATGTGGTGGAAACGTAAATACTTCCTATTTATCTTTAAAAAGAGGTGTTGCACGGTTAGGGTAGCCCAGTATGGATTCTCTTAAAAGCATAGTCTTATGAGAGCAAAGATGTGCTTACCTAAGCACAATGTATAAAGTTCGAATATCATCGCCATGTATTGGAATAATCGCTACAATGTCTGGGTTTATTTCCGTACAACCAAACACATGGCCGATCAAACAAGGTGGCTTTGACGTGCTTAATTCAATACTCCCACATGCACTAATTACAGGATGGCGAAATAGTCACGCTCCATTTTCGGTACATCTAATTCGTTACAAAAATAAAAAGCTCTCGTATGATATCGTAACACCCCTATTCGCGGATTTACAATGCTAAAGCAAAAAATGGCCATTGCCGTGACGCTTGCTCCACCCCAAAACACACGTGCTAGACTTAGGAGAAAACAGCGAAAGAGTGACGTTAAACTAGTGCGCGCGTTTAGTGCTTTTCGACAATATGGGCGCCCGAATGCCGATTAGAGGGAACACAAGGTAGGTAGATTCTTTATAACACGGTTTCTATTATACAAATAATATAAATTAACCGAAAGACCTTCGATATAGTCACGCTGTCTTTCAGCTGACGGCGCCATTCTTTCCACCTTTGGCGCATAATCAGGGTCTTTACAGGTAAAATATAGTACATTAATTACACTAGCTGCCATCAAATACCCAAAAACACGAAGAAAGAGCGATATGTACCTTAGAATTAGACTGCACATAGTCATTTGCACCAATACATACATCAAGGCGCTGGCTCCCGTCGATCATTACAGTCTGTGAACAAAAGCTCGCGTTCTTATCCTCGGTTGACGCCACTTACAGGATTCGCAGCTGTTTATAATACGTTGTCCACACATAACACACTGCCGATTAACTAGTCGACAATCATAAACATTGATCTCATTTCCTTTTACCATATTTAGAGTGGTGTGGCAGTATGAGAAGGAGGGCTTTCTAATTTAATAGGAGGTGGGTTTGCTTAAAAGAGGGTGTGGCTGTACCGGCTTCCTCATTAAGGGGTTAAAATCAGTTGCATGATAAAACGTGTAAAAGTAACACATCTTCATTGAAAAGCAAAGATAAGGGAGCGTTCCCCCCCCCCTCGCAAAAACCATCCACCCCCTCAAACTTACGATGCTCTGATTTATCAGTAAAAAAATGCAGCAAACATTATGTCCCTGATTGGTCAGGCAAGGAATGTCAGCGAGCAATTTTTACCTACAGCTGGTACAAATGAATGCTCACCTTCCTCCTGCAGCCATCCGATTTCCTACAACTCCAAAGAAAAGAACACCCTTACACCTCTCGAACACTGGCACGCGCTTCTCTTGCTGAAGCTCAAGCTAATTTTAAGGCCCTGCAACGTCACAGGGATATGCTTTAGTTACTGTTTATACAAATAAGGTTGGCAAGAGGAATGAAGGCGTGTGACAACTGCATAACGCTTCGAAATCGTACCGCACAAAAGCATTGTCACGCTTTAATAAGCATGTAGTACTGGTAAGAGAAGATACAGGAATGAATCAATGACGTGTGCATCTGTCAGAACAAACCAGAGCACTACGCTCACTGATTGTGAACGTAGCAACTATGCAATTCTTTGGCTTGAACATGAGTCAGTCTGCAATGGAGAGTGCCAAGCGAGCTTGTAGACTTTCCTCTTCTGGCAAGACTAAAAACGACACTTGATAAATTGCTCTGAGACGGGAAAGCAGAGCAACGGTTCAGCGATAATTCTGGGATTGCTCGTTGCATTTTTTTGTTGGTCAACCAGAGCTTCATAAGTGTGAGGGGTGGATAGTTTACGCCTCCCAAAGATAATTGCTGATGTAAATATGACGGAGCTTTGCAAGCATTGATGCCAGTCGTAATATCATCCGTACAGTTCTTAAGCGTCGCAGTGTGTATTACAACTGGCGAGAGTACATCAAACGACACAAAATCTACTGACCGCCTTAATTGGCATTACAACCATAATTTCGTGTAACAAGATCGAGCACAGAGCGAGTCATGATTGCAAAAACCCATGAGCAGCATTGTTCTTGATCTGTTGAAGATAACATCAGTACGAAGCAATTTACAATAACTCCTTGCCTTGTACTATGATGTGGAGTCTACTACGAGTTATGTTGTGATAACTACTTGTTAATCTCTACTTGGAGAGAATTGGCTTCATTATATCAGTCAAGACCCTTCTCGTACATTGCAAACGCATCAGGTCCGTTCGTACTCACTCGTGCTGGACGTTTTAACACCGTACTACGGTCAGAGCATTCTGGTTACATGTGGTCTGGTATGGTTGGTTTGCATCGCGACGCCGAAAAGGCAGTTTGCAGGTCCCGATGAGTCGTTGCATGGTGTATAAAGCTCAGAAAAATAGGTTGGAAACCACTGGCACATGAGCACAAAATACCATGTGCGATCGAAGAACAGCTTCGCCGCTCCTAACGCAATGCTGCAACTTCTCTACTTCTACGCCTTAGTAGTCCTACACTTCGTAATCGGCCTGAGTAAAACCTCGCGACTAAAATTCATGTGAACATCACGTTATAGTATCTAGGACGACACTCAAGTGCTGCGGACCTCCGGCCTCGAAAGCCATCGACCTCGGCTTCACACAAATAAAAATCACCCCGTTTCACGCCAAAGAGCAATGGCAAGAAAGAAAAAACATTGTGTGAGCAGGTAGGACCTATTGAGACACGATCTGACTCTTATTGTACGAAAGCGTGGTGGTGAATCCGCAATTAACGTACCTACTCCCAGATCCGACATAGATGACACGTGCTCTCAGAGACAGCGTAGGTAAGCATCACACCAAATGTTTAATAAAATGCCCTTTTGTGCGAGGCATCCCGAGATAAGCTGAGAGCTTGAAAATGCTAGGGTTCCGAACCGGAAGGCATATACCCACTTAAGTTCAAGCGCTAGCAAAACATCGATGGCAGTAGCTCATAGATTTGATCAGGCGGACCCACAATACCCTACACGACGTTGTACATTCGATATTTGGTGTCCAATTGCATTATGAATAACGATCTTGGTTCTCGACTTGCGGCCAGGCGACCGAGTGCAGAGACGCTACAAACTAACAATCGTGATGCTGATGCTTGGTGTTCGTTATAAGGAGGAGCCATCGTTTGAGAGATATGAATGTTAAAACAAATCTTTGCAGGAAGAAATACTTGGCACATGAAGGCTCTTCTTGTCATTTTTATCAAAAATTTCCAGCATACGTAAATGTGCATTAACAACTTCACTTGTTTAGCCGTCTGTCTCAAGTACACGTAGATTAACAGCTTCACTTGTTTAGCCGTCAGTCCCAACACATATAACATAACCTTTTCAGTACAACGAACTCATCGAGTTTACTAACACAACATAGGAAAGTGTAATCTCGGAATATGCGGCCACGTCTTGACATAGTTGTACCGGCTCCAAAAACATATAGAAGCCTAAGGCCACGCATTCGCCTGTTAAATTTGGGCCCAACAAATTGGCGCTCTCCACTTACGCAGTCATACATGTAGCACAAACACACGCCGTATGCAATTACCGTCACTTCGGGAAAATCATACACACCCGCAAAATAGAGTCCGAGCCACACACGCCCACGGACTGACCTCTCCAGATACAGGACTTCCCGCGACGCAGCCAGTGCCTTTGTTGAGATGTGACGGATGACGAAAGCAGCGATTGCTTCCTGCATCAGGCTTGCCAGCCACCATTCCACTCGTAAGACCACATGCAGCAGCTGGAGAAGGAAAATACATCTGCTTTGGTCTTTTCAGCTTGCGATACCGCGACTCCAGTCGTGACGCCCCATTCGGCGCGTCATTAGCATAAGAAGTTAAATTTGAGTGCTTGGCTCGGTCTTCATCGCCCTCATCATAGTCATCTTCACTGACCGACCTAGAGTTGCCTTGTCCGGTCCAATCGGTAGTTGCTGTATCTCCGAAAGCTTCGCTCACTGTTACCGAAGTAGAGAACGTGTTGCGTTCCTCAGTTATCCGATTCGTGGACTTCTTGATAGCTCCTCCAAATGGCATTTCGTAGCCCGGAGCAGCTGTTCCACCAGGTTTATACTGCTCGTTAATGCTACGAAGACCTAGCCAACGACAAATCTCGTTGCACCGATGACTTTCAAGAAACTTTTCCATACCAAAAGTTCCAAGATTTCCAACACCAAATCCACGACCATCTGCCGAATGAATTTGCGGATCGGTGTAGCTATCGGCAACTCCTTGAATATCTACAATCATCAATTGAAAGTCCGAAGCCACAAAGGAGAAGTGCGAAAATGCCTGCGGCGTATTCCGTTCCCGTTCTTCCGTCGAGCTGGTTTCTCGACCTACGTAGCCATTGTTGTTGCTGTATTTCACATACGCTCCTGGCAGAAATTCTTCCACGGAGCACACAAGAGTTCCTCGTTCCCGATCTCTCAATTTTAGCAGCCACGATCTCGCATAACAAACTTTAAGCGGTGGTTCATGTTCATTGTACAGTGCGGCATAATGAGCGCAGACAGCTTGCATCTCAACATCGCTCAAATACGTGCTTGGCTCTGCAGCACAATGACTCACTTTTGCAACATACAGCCTTGGCGGACCTCCATCCACGCCATGTTCCTACAGCAGCATTTTAACAAAAAAAAAGTAAGTGACGAACAAGTCTGCAAAAAGAAAAACATACATGCAACCATCGTCCGACCTGTATATAATAGGCATTTCGAAGTTTTCCCGTGGCAAAGGGCACCAAGTCCAACTTGACCCTCACTGGAGTTGAGTGCCACTCTAATGTATCGACATCGAAACTCAATTTGTCGGCCCGTTCTTTTCGAATCCGAGAAAAATCCGGAGGACCATGTGGCACCACCGTCTTGAGCAGAGGTTGCAGTGGTAAAGGCAGTAACTTGCCATTCCCCGCGGCGTCTCTTCTCGACTTGGGTGAAGGCGATTTTTTTCTTGCCATAGATGTGCCGGTCATGTCATTAATGATCTGCGTCTTTCGTTCTTGGTACTCGTCAGCAGTCAAGTGGCCGCAATCTAATAGAAGTTTCAGTGTATTTAGTTTCTCAAAAGGACTTTGGCGGTGCTGGGACGACGACGAGGGGTATGCGACCGCTACGGCCACGACTGCAGCATCTGAACTGGTATAATGGGCGTCTATAGCTACGGGTTTGGAGACTCGTCGACGCCCCATGGCAGTAGTGATTTTCATATTACGTAATGGAGCTGACACCGAACGTGTATACAGAACAAAAATCAGGGTTTGACCACATCAATACAATCGGTAGGAAAAGATGAGGATCTTTCTGATTACCGGTTCTTGGTGAGGCGGTCATGGGGAAACGAGTGAAAACGAATTGCGTGGGAGCTGAAACAAGCGGCGCATTCTCCGAGCAATTTTTTGCGAATATTAGGGTGTGAAATCGGAATATTTGGGATTATCTGACGAATGGGATATCCAGAAAAAAAATGTTTTTCAGCTACTTGAATCAGTTTAAGTGATAATGATTTATGAAAGATCGAGTTAATGTCGTCGACCGCGTCGCGACGTGACGTGACAGTTTAATGATTGCGTCGGTCTGTTGTGTTGACCTTGTTGACTACTACTCGCTGTCGCTGTGTTCACGAATAGCGCCAATCTCCACTAATTTACGGGCGAGCTGCAACAACAATATGAAAGCAAATACTCATAAATGTTTCGCACCAAAGAGACTGAGCAAATAAGATAATAACAATACTCACGGCAGCAGTAGGAAAGTTATCGCCAGATGGGGCATGGCGGTTCGTAGGACCACCAATTTTCAACACTTCAGCATTGTCGTCATTGTTCATAAGTCCGTCAAAACCAATGACGCGAGTTGGAAAGGCCACGCCGTCTTTGAAGCACACGACAGTTGGCAGGACTCGGATCATCAATTTCTCCGCAAAAAACGGGGCCTTCTCCGCGTTCAACTTTAAAAACTTGCACTCGATGCAACGACGAGCTAATCGTGTCAAATGCAAGTCCATGATCTTGCAGCGTTCGAAGTCGCGATGATAGAAATGCACAGCCACCAACGGGCTGCCCGTCACTTCTTTTAGAAACTCATCCTGCGTAATCTCACGGTATTCTCCGTGACCTTTCGCTATCAACGCCTGACTTTCCAGAAACTCGAGCTTCAGCTGCTTCAACCTTGCCTCGCGTATTCTATGTAAACACACCACAAAAGTCAAAAAGAATTATCAGTAATTACTACAAATAACCACGTCCACAATTTCTCGCTAGAAAGACCGTTCGAGCTCCGGATCGTCAGTTAACTCGTTCAGCATCGTCTCATCGTCCGAATCAAGATCGTCCATTTCGTGGTGCATTCCCACATAAGTGCGATCCTCCTTCTGCTGCACGACTTTGGCTGCAAGTGCCTCGTTGACGCGACGCACTTGATGCGCTTCTTCTCGATTGTCTTGCTTCTTTTGTTGTTCACGAGCTTTTTCTTGTCGTTGATTGTTCACTTTTAATTCCTCCATCGCATTTTGCATCCGATCCGAAGCTTCCACATGAGCCGCTGAGTCGAAGAGCCCCGAGGTGTTGGCCATAGAAAATTTGGCAGCCATTATGACTCGATGGCAAGGGGTGGTGGGAACGAGCGTAACCACTTGATTTGGTCGAATGAGAGGGGAGAGTTGTTTAGGAGACGAGTGACGCTATAATTGAGCGTGTTTCGTGATGATGACTCTATTTCCACCAGTAAAAGGGAGAACAGTGGAAGGACGTACTTTCGGTGGCAATTATCAAGTTAAGTGGTTGCAGTAATCCGAGCTCGATCTGCCACATAATTGTTGGTCTTGTGAGTTTTTCAGATAAAGACACGGCAGTGGATACGAATGACGCGCACGTCTCGACAATGATCTAGAAAGCAGTGAATGCACTTCGCTAAACGGTAACACCAACGAAGCTAAGAGTGTGGTGGCAAACAACATTAAGTGGCTCCAAGCGAAGAAAAGGTGACGAGGATTGTACTTGGCGTCGGAGTTACATATTCATTCTTGTACAGACGGAGCGAACGCCTGCGTCGAGAAGCAAGGAACAAGCACGACTATGGCGTCTTTATAACAATAGGAGACGTGTCTGCAAGATTTTCGGAGACTACGCTGTCACACAGAGCTGCAATTTAAATGGAAGTGGTAAAGGCGGTTTGATGTGCTGAAAATCCTAAAGCTCAATAATGATCAGACCATGCAAAAGGCTCAAATGAAGGGCACAGATGACGAACAGTTGCTCGCTTTTGGGAAGGCCATGGCTTTACGCAATGCATCAAAATCTTGCTGGCACGGCACACCACACACTGCGCTCCTCACGACTCAAGCAGTTTCAGCAAACGAAACTCGTGCACAAATTGGCGATTTTTGCAGAAATTTGGCCACGTGTGTTGCACCTAGCCAGCGAATCGGAATATCGGAAACGAGCGGCTGCTACTTCTAATGAACTCTTCTTAGCAATGACAAACCAGTGACTGCCTGATTCGATGCGTAGGACAAGCTGTTCTAACAAGTGAGATTGTCCGAATGACATTCCGCACGCGATTTGTACCGCCAGAGCTGCTTACTTTGCTTTTTGTCGACTTATAGCCGCTGACGAATGATTACAAAGCCGTCGTCAGGCCGATTAACTACTGATGCATCCGCGTGTTTTAGTGACAGTTTGTCGAGCCGGTCTAGTCTCACGTAGTGTACCTGATAGCGGCAAACGTTACGGGCGGGCACTGATCTTGTTCGATGTGGTGAAAGCAGTCGTTTTGTCGGACATACACTTTCCTCAGAATCTGGGCTTCTTTAATGGTCAAATGTTGGGCAACAGTCATGAGACGAAGTCATGAGCGGTGAAACGGGGTTCATTTTGTCTGTGGAACACACGGCCCTAATGTGCCCTCACCCTTAGAGCATGCATGCAGTTCAAAGAACTTGCTATTTCAATGAAATACTAGGGCCGAGATGCTTTATTTCGTCATTTGAGGCAACCCGATCTCCGTTGTCCAGTGTTTGTACTAAATTTCTCTGACAGCAGGTCCGACTGAGCTCCGAATGTGATGTCTTTAACGGGGACCCTCACCTACAAGGTTAATAACAACGCCAATATCGACAAGTATAGGACATCAAGAAACCTTCTGCTATATTGCGATAGACAAGTGTTCATCAGGGGGGACACTGTTTTCTGGGAGTCGGCAGGTATGACAGAGCTGGCAATGTGATCCCATAAGGGGCAAGTTGCACTGGCTGCTGCGTCTAGTACATAAACCGGAATGTATGGTGGTGTGAATCAGAGTCGAGTCTTAGGGACGAGACAAGTGATGGGGCTAGTTTAAAGTCTGCTGGCTCACGCGCTTTCGCCTGTTCTTGTTTGTACCTGTAAGCAACGAAGCGATCAGCAGTTGACCTGTAAGCAATGCCAACCGGCTAGTAGTGGTGCCTTTTCTCTGCCGACTCAGTGCTCAAGTTGCATCGTCATCGAATATACAACCAGCGCCCAACTCGCTTCTTTTGTGATTTGACTGGCAGTTGATAAATCGGCGTCTGCAAATTCGGAGTGGGCAGGCTAAGCTCCATCCGTCCGCGCCTTCTTTAGCGATGACTACGTATCATTCTTAAACACTCTACAGATAAACTATCGACTGCCTGAGGAATCGCAACAAAGTCGGTCATGGCGGCAACAATGCCCCAGGCCACCACCACTTGCTCGGAGGTGGAGCAGGCGTGGCTTGAGGCCGGTCAACGAGGTGATACCAAGACGATGCAAATGCTTCTCCAGACCCATCCAAAGTGGCTCGCGCCCGATCGTGTACGTGCTACTATTATATCAGTAAACCGTCATTGTGACGAGCACGTACTACTCTTGTCGCTTCTTTTGCCCGATCGTTCAGTCTGCCTGTCTGCAAGTGGGACCACTAATGCATGTCAAAGTCAGGTTGCAACAACGTCTACTTCGAACCATGTTGATGGTAGTGATGGCACTTCGTCGTTTTGTGACTGGGATGGATTCTACCTTCCTACGGTGGGGGCGTCCACGCTCCATGCAGCTGCCTGGAATGGCAACTACGACGTCTTGAAATTCCTGCTGGAACAAGGCCAACACGTCGACGAGCAAGACCGTCGAGGTGTGACTGCGTTAATGGCGACACTTTTGCGGCACAATGTCCAGACGTTACGCGCGGTGTTTCATGGAAATGCCGTCGTGCAGCTCAATACGATCATGGATGTCAGTACGCGTTTTGCGCTATTCCTGAAAGAGGTGGCGGGGTTTGCATAACGACTGTATATGCTGCTACTATAGTGCCGGAAGGAAGACGGTGAGCGACTGAGTGATACGTTAAGCGTTGTAAGGCTGCTACTTCTTCATGGTGCGGGGACGGAGATGCGTGACCAAGAAGGTAGGACAGCCTTATTTCTCGCCACGAACGACGAGCTTTTTGAAATAGCCAAACTTCTCTTGGAAAATGGGGCGCTTATGGATGCACAGGACTCAACTGGTAGGTCCCCGCTCCATGCGTGTCTGCGAACGTTTCCTGAACAAAGTGTGTTGGTGACAAACTTGCTGCTTTCTCGTGGTGCACCGATCGACCTCTTGGATAAGGATGGCGAGACCCCATTGATGATTGTCGTCCGACGCGGGGACACTACAGCGCTACAATTGTTTCTGAACCATCACTCTCTGGTTGCTACACCCGCAAGACAAGACTTTGCTGGTGCCATGCTCTTGCAAGCCGCGGAGCTTGGCATTGTGAATACTGTGCGCTTCTTACTGAACGGCAGCTACTCAAGCATTGATGTCGTCAATGCCCGAGGTGAGACGGCGCTCCATCTAGCGATACTGAAGCAACGCAAACAGGTTGTTGAGGTCTTGTGTGCCTCAAAAGATGCTGAGCTTCTGCTTGAAGTCCGAACGCAGGGCAATGAAGAGAATGTGCTGCATTATGCTGCACGCTACGGAGCACCTTCAGACTTGCAGTTGGTGTTGTCACTTGTACGCAAAAGTATTGCCCAAGAAGTTAACCGTTCGAACGCTGTTGGGATGACTCCAATGTATCTCGCAGTCATAGCCGCTGATGCCGGATCGCTGAGCGAATGTCAAGCGAAGGTTGCGCAGCTCAACAAACTCGGTGCGTTGCTGTTTTCATCCAACATGCGCCTCTTTCAGGAGGTCAAATGTGGTGTTGGCGTAGCGCTGACAGCTATGAACCCTGCTGTACGACGGGCACTGGCCTTGTGGCTACTTGAGTGCAGCGCAACATCAGCCACGACAATCTCTGAGTTTTGCATGGATTGGTTAGCATGCGTTCAACGTTCTCATACTAAGTCAAAGCAGCATGACAGCGTGCAAACACAAGGAAGCGTGGAGGAGGAGGATTATTCTACTGTCAATCCGGAGACTCAAGCAGCCATGCAGGGTAAGGAATTGCGCCGTTGTCCGTCTATTCTACTCGACCCGACACTTGCTGCGGTTATCTGTGCTGGTTACGCAATTGATGCAGTACCGCTGCTGCTGACGATGCCACTCAAACGTGAGGCAGTGCTACATTTTCTCGAATTGCTGAAGACTCTGGCAAAGGACTTGAAGCACGCACTACTACAAAAGCTGCAGCTAGAGCTGCTGGCTGCTTGGAAAGTCGAGAGCGATGACAGTAGTCGTCAATAAGCGAGCACGCTCCTCAAGACGATGGAATGGCCTCGAATTCGTGCACACAGACGAAGCGTGAAGTACGGCAAGCATGCGAACGAAGCAGCTGCTGATGTGGAATCATATAGTGGCATGGGAACGAGTGGCAGTGGCCGCTGTTGTGGGCGGTGGTACTCATCTTCAGCAAATAGCCGAAATGACCTCGTTAACACGATGCCAATACAAGGATTAAGTGAAGTTTCGTAGGACACGAGTCTTTCCATGCATATTAATGTATTTATCACGAATGTACCAGACTCAACAAGCCAAGTCTGTACCCGATCACAAAGGACGATACTCTTCAGTGTAGCAAGGACGTGTCGCTGCGGAAAAGCGGCAGTCAGTTGCGTCTGACGTCGAGGCTGTCGAGAGAAAGCAACAAGTTACAGAGTCTCAGCGTCCAGAGCGATTGGCACGAGGTTGCCAGCTCCCCTGAACGTCTCGAGGATGTTAGCCTGTTCGCTCAGAATGAGACGATCGCGGTTGTTACCGATCTCAGCTAGCTTGCGCCAGCGTGCAAAGTCCTCCGGGTTGCGCTTGTCGCCGTGGGCTTCCTCAGGGTGGTCCCAGTGGCCCTTGGAGAACCCAATCATGGTCGTTATCTTCTGGTTCAGGATGTCGTAGACGAGCGACACGATCGTGCCGGTCTCCTCGAGCCAGTTGCATTGCCACAATTCGCCCGGGCGAATGCACTGGAAAGCGGCGGTCTGGTAGTTGAGACGACCAGCCATGGGGCCGCCATGGATCGAATACACGATGCGGTTCTCCGAGTAAAACCACATCTCGTAGCGCCACTTCTCGGGTTTGCCATCGGCGCTCTCGGCATCGTAGTCGTATAGAAGGTGAAGGCCACGGATGTCTTTGTCGAAGGACGGATGTAAAGAGGTGTTGGTGTGGTATCCGGGTACTTGCATCGGCATTTTGTATGGCTGAGACTGTTAATGACCCGGAGTGATTGGAAGACGGCGAGATGAAGAATGACGTGGAAGTAGAGGTGTCCGACGTGGATGTAACGCTTCTCAACACTACGATAGAGTTCAGGCGTGGCAAGGTCAACTTTCCCATCAAACTTCAAGTGTTCATGAGAGCGAGGCGACAAATCTATGTAAGATGCGCAAGTAAATGCACGCCTTCTAGAGCATTGTCTGGTCGCGTTTTCTCGATACAGCGTTCACGTCGCATAACAACGTGACAATCTCTTTTCCCGAAAACAAGTCGGTGTGCTTCCCATCAGTCTTTGCGCGGTCTTTGCGCGGTCGACAGGTCGTGCATACGGCCAGACAGGGGGAATACTATAGGTATCGGCATCCTGCGCCACGCGTCATCGAGTCGGGGGTCACGCACTCCAGGTCCGATAGGCTGCACAAGCAGCCCTTCTCTGACCCATCATCAGCGATGGTGACATTATCACGTTGTGCTGTTGCATCGTAAACGCTTACCCTAGGTAATTCGACTGCATTCGCGGTAGTTACCTCGTTTAGGCTGTCCATTGTGGACACCTTTTTCCCATCAGAGCAGCAATGCCCTAGGATCACTCGAGAGATAGGCTCGCACGAGGCTTGGATAGGATGAATCGTAGTCTTGTCCTAAACCTCGCCTCTGCTCTTTTCAGTGGCCTACCACGGCAAGTTGTCTGACTTGACGCATTTGTTCTACCACACAAGAATCCAGGCATCTAAACATAAACGTTTTGATCCTGACACTTCTTATCAGTCTTTTGTCAAAACGAACCCGCAAAAACACACTACGTTACTCCTGATCTATTCGATAAACATTGCGACGTGTTTCTCGCAAAGTACGTGCCATGTTGCTCTGGCAACACCTTAGACATTGATTCAAGGCGCACATTATTATGCCGATTCGGTGTTTAAGCGTGGTCTGACCATATCAAACATATCGCGTCTCCGCAGTACCGGCTCGGAGAGCTCTCTGCCAATCTTTGCTATCGCTCATTTAGTTTGCTTCAGTTTGCTTCAAGCACTTATCCTGAAACACGACTCGACAATTTTGTGGTCTGCGATACACTCAATATGCGCAGTCGTCACACCGCTGCAAAAATTCATGATGTCCAACGAAATAAAAATAAGGGTCGGGACATCATATTTGTATTGCAGAATTTGCGACGTACCTCTCCTAACCTAAGACAAGGCATGCCACCATTTGTCACATCTTGCATAGCGACAGTCTCTTCATTCTGGCCTCGTCTATTTTTGCACTGTAAACAAGTAGTAGACCCACATGTCGGGTCTAATAAATACAATACACCAGCGGCATCTCAATTGTCGACGTAGGTGCTACAATTAGCAATTGTAACTCTTTCTACACGATACATAAGACGATGTCATCCGGCAGCGTGACCAAGCAAAAAGATTTGGATTTCTTGGAGTGATTTTGCGGAACACCGCCGCTCAGCCTTTGCGACAAAGACCATTGAAGAATTGTACAACATAAAGGGGAAAAAGGTTTAACGCACCGCTTGAAAAATGGGTCATTATCCGCTGGTTTTATGGTGAACAACAAAATGATATCTGAATATTAATCTACTGTATTCACCAAATTCTGATGGATTAAGTCCTCATTACAATATACTTAACCTCACTCGATTCTTTTATCACATTTGCTGTTTTAGCGGTTGTCGACAGGCAATAAGCTACTAGGCGAAAGTGAGAGAGCAAATTGGGTAAACGTGCATCGATAAGTTTGTACCAGTGTTGGAAAGCGAGAAAGCAAGGTAAAGGACTTTGATAATTAAACGCGCACCACAAGCGTTTCCTTCCCCCCTCCCCCGCCGGGGGCTTCGTCAGTGGCTATTCCAATCTAGAATTGAGATCTTTCTGTGCCCTGCACTAACCAAACAGGGAACCTTCTAGAACTAAGTGTAGCCACCCAAATTACTTACCATAACCAACAAACCTGGCAGCTGGGTCGTTGACCTGGAAGGAACGCTCCGCTACGAAAATTCCATTCCAACATACCGTGGATCTTTTGACTTCACTCCAGGTCAAATGTAAAGTACGCCCCATGTTTTTCTATATTTCTCAGCGACTATTCGAAGTAAGAACTGCTTATTGAAATCATAGATCTGAAAGTGTTTAATTTGATGCCTGAGTAGTCGACCCGGTTTTAACAGTTCTCATGGGTTCTCCCATCCAAATGTCGAAAGACGGACGTGGCCAAAGGATAAGCCACCTTTAGCTATTCAAAAATCAAGAACACCTACGAGAGAGAGAAAGACTGCTATTTTTTAAAGAGTCTTGTTGCTACGCAGATCGTTAATTTAATGGCATCGTTTGGCAGTGATTTGGAAATGTTGTTCAGGGTTTCTGACATGAAAGCTGCCCATTCGGACAGAATTGTTGCAGTTAGCTCGTAATTATTGTTCTACTGCATTACTGTTACCGTATACTTTTGCTGCTAAGGTTGACCACAATTTAATGTGTAGATAACTCTCGCTGTCAACTCCGACGTATGAATCGATATTTTGTCCTATTGGAAATGAAGTCGGTACTCTCGTGTAAATGTGCAAAGCAGGAACTCCGATAGCGTGAGCACATGATGCTTAGATTTTTGCTTTCCATTAATCACTGCTATCTCAGACTTTCTTTCGCACCTACTGCGGCCCAAACCATGACCGTTCCACCACCGTTTTGCCTACGGACGATCTCACGACGCGGGGATCGCACTTCGCAGTAGAGTTCTCGAAATCATCGGGGCGGTCAAAAATAAACTTTTTTTTATCCGAGATGATAACTGCTTCCCAATCAGTCCCCATCATCATGGTTCTTGTCTCAAAGATGTCTCACTTTCTTGTGATAGCGTGTACGAGGAAGGTTGCAGTCCATTTTAGTGTAGACAAGCCAGTCTACACCAAGGAGAATGCGGTGGACGGTCCGCGCGGAGCACTCACGCTCCAGTTTGTCAGTCAACTGGACAAACAAATAACTTTTCGTCGCTGCCTGTTGCAGACCTCCGCAAGTCGCGGCTTGTCAGAAGATTAGGACTGCCTCTCGTTCCCTTTACTTGCTGAAGCTGCAAATCAGCCTGCACACATGTATTTCAACGCTTGAGACGTCTCGCAATGTCTCTAGTGGAGTGCCCGACCTCACGCAGACCACGGATTCTTCCTTTCTCTTTATTAGACTGCTCTTTTACTCTCCCCATCACTTGCAGAATCAAATTTTCAAACAGTCATTCTTTCGTAGTTGATCTTGATTTTGAATAGCTAAAGGTGGCTTATCTTTAGGCCACGTCCGTCTTTCGAAATTTGGATGGGAGAACCCTTGAGAACTGCTAAAACCGGGTCGACTACACTTGCATCACACTTCAACACTTTCAGATATATGATTTCAAACGGCAGTTCTTTATTCGTAATAGTCGCAGAGGTATTTAGAAAAACATGGGGTGTACTTTACCTTTGGTCTGGATTGTTCTAACCTTTTTAAAAGGCACACTGGACATATGTCATGTGATCAGAATTGCGCCATACAATTGTCAAGTCTTTTATTGCAGGGATGGCTTACATAGACACCATATACAATTTGTTGTCAATGACAGCTTTGAGAGACATTGGTCATAAAATGAGCATATGGTTTGGATAGAGCTTGGTTTGCCACTGGTGCAGCCAGCAACGACGTCGCCAGAGTAAACGCCACTTGCAAAGACGACGGTCTTCTGGGTGGCGACGAACAAATCAGCAAAACCAACCGGTTGATGGTAATTTGCTTTGTAGTGGTACTGTAGCGAATCGGATTTTATCAATTGATGGCGATCGCTGGGTGGAGTACTCTCAAATCTCGACAAGTCGTGGAGAAAGACCGATTGGCTGTTAAGCAGCGCAATAGAAAGACCGAATATCGACATATTAAGATCGAATGCCAAAATACCGAGAATGAATACAGCAATACCGCTGTCAAATATCACATAAACCGGATCGAATATCAAGTTGCCAAGATCGAGTCAAGATGCCAAGATCGGTAATGCATGAGGTGTTCAAATTCGGATGAATAGCTGACACATTGCCAAGGATCACAATTCTAGAGAGTGATCGACGATCATTTTAGGAGATAGACGATCGTGGAGATCGGCGATCGGGATGATCGACGATTGGGGTGATCGACGATTACTCAAGATCATCAATTTCCCGAGGAGATCGACGATCGGTCAGGCAGATTGATGATCTACCTGAAGTGTACCACGTATGCGAAGGATCAATCAACAGAATGTAGAGGACTCGTGGCAGCATATCCTGACTCATAGATAGTCATATTTGTAGTTTTAACTTTGAATTGCTTGTTTTGAGCATAATTCTGTTTGCTTTTGAGTACACGTGTTGGCTTCTCTACCGGGCTGGAATATTGGCCTCCTGACGTCAATAAAGTCGTCCATACTAAAATCAAGTGGTATTTCCAGGTAATTGGCTGGGGGTCAAGAATTCTCAACTCCTCACTGCAAATTGGACGCAGCAAGGACGTAAAGGACAAGGCGTAAGATCGCGATTCTACCCAAGTGGTCAGAGGGCTCGCGTGTCAAACATGTACACAGTGGACAAGGCGATCTCGTTAAGATCTGGGTAGCTTACATCAAGTGACCTAGAAGTATACCCTTGAGCGTGTAAAGGTTTCCGCGCGGTTCCAACCCTATTCCCAACACGATCGAGTTTTCTTTTTCTTTTGTGACAAGTGTCCACCGAGAAGAGTGCAGTCCACCCTACCGACGGGTACGCAAGGTGAAAAGGAAATACAAGACGCGTAACGGAGTAATCCCTCCAATAGTCGGTCTTCTAAGCACCAGTGGAGAGTCAGGTTCGCCTTATAAAATAAGCGATCGCCACTTAACCATAGTAGATTGGTATGTAAAAGTATTTTTTGGAGAAGTCAACACGAGACATCAGTCATCATAAAAAAATTAAGGCAAATCATAT